ATCAATTCTAAACTGTTCTTCCTAGAGGTCCAGTAAGAATAATTTCTTATTGATCCAGTGTTACTACAGGAGGAAACCTAAACTAAACTAACTTTATATTTATACTGGATAGCTCTATCAATTCTAAACTGTCCTCCCTAGAGGTCCAGTAAAGATCTTCTCTTATTGATCCCGTGTTACTACAGGAGGAAACGTAAACTAAACTAACTTAATGTATACTGGATAGCTCTATCAGTTCTAAACTGTTCTTCCTAGAGGTCCAGTAAGGATTATCTCGTATTGATCCGGTGTTACTACAGGAGGAAACCTAAACTAAAATATTTATATACGGATAGCTCTGTCAGTTCTAAACTGTTCTTGCTAGAGGGTAGAGATCCTAACACTTAATCAATCCGCTGTTATTTTCAACATAGCGTGTTTTTTATTTCAGATTCAAAGTTTAACCATGTCAAATCAAAGCGTAACAGCAAGGGCTTTGGAATGCAGAAATGCCAGCATCGTCTTGCTTGCTGAAACCATGGCAAGGAATGTGAACATATCTGGTAAGCGGTTTACTCTGCATGGTTGTAGATTTTTTATACTAAAGTATTTGGAGTATGTGGATGTGTCAAGTGTAAACCAAAGCCCTTCACTCGTGTGCATCATCTTGGAAGATTTCGCCTCTAATTTTGTCCTAGACTCATGTATACTACACCCGCAAAAATCTCACATCTTGTAGCAAGTCTGCCAACAAGCCGTCAACAAGTTGTGTTCGCACTGCTTGTCCCAAGTTGTCAACAAATTTGGAACGAGCTGTTAGCAATTTATAACAACTTTGTTGATATTATGACTTGTTACAAAGTTGTCGCAACAAGTCCGATACAGTCATGATATAACAATATTGTTACAACCTTGTGTCGTCAACCTTGTAACATTCTTGTTATATCATGACTGTATCAGACTTGTTAGAACAACCTTGTAACTTAGTCTGATAATGCCATCAAGCTTGTTACAAGTTGTTAACAGCTTGTTTCAAACTTGTTACAACAACTGGGAACAAGCAGTGCGAACACAAGTTGTCGACAGCTTGTGAACAGATTTGTAACACTTGTTTGCAGACCTGTAACAACTTGTGAGTTTTTACGTTTGTGAACATGACAAAACATTTCTAAATGGTTTGTTTTATGATTGCTTTTTTAGAAAACAACAAAACGGTTTCTGAAAGTTTTCAACTATTCAACGCGGCAAACGAAACTTGCAACAAAGTCGAGACACGCGCGAGTATTTTCGAAAACAAACGTACAACAATTATAGAGACCGCAGCCCGGGAACGACCAGCAATCGGAAACTCTACCCAGAACGCTATAGAATATGTTGAAAAGACTAAAAACATCTCGGAAGATATTGAACTGGAAACTATTGAATTGAAGAAAAGATTGACGGATGCTAACAACACGTTAGCCGTGGTGAATGCTTTGGTTGTAAATTCGAGTCGATTGTTGGAACATACTACTCTCACAGGTATACAATCTGCATTTTTAGTGACTAACCTGAATTAGTATAATTTCAGTATTGAAAAATGGCCTTTGAGCATTTTGATTGTCTCCTTCAGCGGCAACTCGTAGCCAATAGTTATTGTTCAGACTGCCCTGAGCAGTAACTATTTCTTTTCCCAAAAAAATGGCTGAAAATCTGCAAATTATCCCTCCCCCGAGCGGAGGGGGTCTATAAATGATATATTATACCGAAAATTAGCCTCCAAGTTGAGAATATAGAACTTGCCACATACCTTCGTGAATACGATGTTTTATTGTTTGAATAACGCAAGTATTTGTCATTTTTCTTTCGAATCACCTGTCGTTTAGAATATTGATGATAAAATTTTTCAAAACTTAAAAAACGAGAGAAAAATTTCCACACAGAACATTTTCCGAAAATATCATTGTTAAAATTTCGGCCAATCACATCTTGCAAAAATTTTCTTTCTGCGGGAAATTTTCGCTGCAAAATAAAAAATTTCAAAGAAGAATGGTTTAGAACTGACAGAGCTCTTCTGTCTTAATAAACTTAGATTAGTTTAGTTTTAAAGTCATTTTCTATTTTCTAACTACTTGACAGGCAACGAAACGGCGAGATTGTTGGGAAATATTTCCCTGAGCGTGAACCTAACGAAGCAAATTAAACGAGAAAATGAGCAAAGTGAACAGTTCTTACTAAACATGACGGCCAGACTGGAACGCAAACTACAAGAAGCGAAAGATAAAGTTGCTAAGGTAAACTGTCTGACTGAAATACCAGGGACCTTAAATTGGATATTTCAAAAGCTAATTTTTTTTAGATGCAATTTTTAACAGGTTAAAAACTGTTTAGGGGAGGTGCAGCAATTCAAGCTCATGGCTCCCATGAAATGTTAGGAATTAGAATGTACCCCTGCCCCATAAAGTCAACTAAGTGACGTATGCATGTATTCATGAATTATGACTGTACAACTCATGCAATTTTGCCATTCAATGTATTACTACAAAGTTTCTTTCGAAAAACCTTCTTACAAACACGAAGAAATTTGTCAAATTTTAACTTCTATTACAATTCCCAAGGGGAGGTTGGTGACTTTTCAGGGGAGGTGCAAAACGATCTCAGGGGAGGTGCGCGCCTCCCCTCACCTCCCCTCAAAATCCGGCCATGATATTTAGACTGCATGGAAATAAAAGTTTTTGCTCGAATAATCATTTGCAAACATCCATCCACAAATACTTTAAAATGTTTCAAAATTACCAACACTTGTCTTTTGCTCATGAATAAGTAGTGATTTGGGAATTTAATGCGTTAGGAGGAGAATATTTTATATGTTACGTAACACGCGCTCAGAACAAATGGATATATACTTTTCCACTTAGTTATAACTATATTGAATTTTTTTTTGAAACATTTCTCATTCGGCAAACAAATTTAAAAAGTATGTTTCGTGCTTTATCTGTAAAATAATGCTAAAATGAAGAGATTTTAGATGATACGCCAAAGAAAAAATGATGTCTGAAGTTCAGTAAGATTTGCTTATATTGCTGTATAAATATGTCGTCAATTTTACAGCATCAATGATAATTGTATTTAAATTGACAATATTTAACTATTATGTTGTGTTTCTCAACCGCCGGATGCATTCAAAAATGTTGCTAACTGTGTAAACTACAAAATAAAACTAAAACAAAGTCATTTTGAGAGGAACACCAAAAAGATTTTAGGTTTTGAACACTTCTCATCGCAAATACGTGACACTGAAAAAAATTGCGTCTTAAATAATTTTTTATTCTTTTTTGTCCATGTAGTTCCGTCTTGCAATGAAGCTCCGAGGCAACACATCAGTCCAATATCGACCTACGGCCAGGATGATATCTAATCCTCTTCTCAATACCATATCTCTGGATTTCAAGACAAACCGCTCCAGTGGATTACTTCTTTATATGTCCCCAAGTGCTAATAACACGGTAAATAGAAATCAGTGTCCTGAAATCCTGCTTTTTTGAAGCCTCACTGCTGTGGGCGAAATTTTCAAACCCTCGTTGTGGGTACACGTGTAAAAACGCACAAGTTGCAACAAACCTGCAGCAGACTTCTAGAAATTTTGTTCAAACAACTTGTCAACAGGATGTGTTCGCACTGCTTGTTCTCAGCTTGTTGACAATTTGCCATAAGGTTGTTGAGCTAAATTGACTTGTTACCACCAGTATAAATAAAGTTAGTTTAGTTTAGGTTTCCTCCTGCAGTAGCATGCACTGGATCAATAAGAGGTGATCCTTACTGAACCTCTAAGTAGAACAGTTTAGAAATGATAGAGCTATCCAGTATAAATAAAGTTAGTTTAGTTTAAGGTTTCCCCCTGTAGTAACACTGGATCAATAATTAGAGATGATCCTTACTGGACCTCTAAGGAGAACAGTTTAGAACTGATAGAGCTATCCAGTATAAATAAAGTTAGTTTAGTTTAGGTTTCCTTCTGTAGTAACACTGGATCAATAAGAAATGATGATTAATGATCCTTTCTGGACCTCTAGGAAGAACAGTTTAGGACTGATAGAGCTATCCAGTATAAATAAAGTTAGTTTAGTTGAGGTTTCCTCCTGCAGTAACACTGGATCAATAAGAGATGATCCTTACTGGGTTTGTATAGGGTTCACAGTTCAATGGTATTCTGTTTTTATTTCTTTAGCATCAAAGTATTTCGTTGAAGTTGGTGATAAACCGAGTACGCTTCACGTACAACATTGATTCATCCCCAGTGGTCGTTACAAATTGGGAGGTTGAAATCGAGGATAATGTTTGGTATCGTGTCTATGCCACAAGGTGTGTATGTGTTTCTATAAAATACAGAATATTTATCACTGAGAAGCGAGCGTCGAATTTGGGAAAGAAAAAGCAATGACCAGCTTGCCCTTGAATACCGTAGACCTCTGAATATAAGCCCTAGGCTTATACTCGTTCGTAAACTTTTTTGATGGGCTCAAACTTGGGAGGGCGCTTATACATTGGAGGGGATATATATAGACGACATTTGCTGTTAGTAATAGAACTGATAGAGCTATGCAGTATAAATAAACTTAGTTGAGTTTAGGTTTCCTTTTGTAGTAACACTGGATCAATAAGACATGGCTCGATCCTATTGGACTTCTAGGAAAAACAGTTTAAAAGCTATCCAGTATAAATTGTTACGATATGTACGGGCTACCTGTACCGGTAGCGCCCACGGTGTGGTGCGTCAGCGGAGATACGATATATAAACAACATTTACGAACATCTAGAGTCATTCGATTTAGACATTGTACGTTAGTTATATAAGAGATAATAAAGAGCAAAACATGGTGTCAGGAGTGGGATCTTTTAACTGAAGCCTTGTGGATATATTTTATTGAAAAAATATCGCAACACGAATGTTAAAAGTGCAAATATTTCGAAGATTTACGTGACCCAGTAGGCCGCCATATTGGATTTTCTGAATTCGAAAAAAAAAAAAAAAGAAAAAAAGCATGGCAACGTACCAGATTCCAGCACCAGAACCAATGAATTGCAATGGCGATGTCGCAAACAACTGGAAGAGTTTTCATGAAGCATATGAAGATTATTTAATAGCAACAGGCTTAGATCAGAAAGACAAGAAAGTTCAAGTGGCCACGTTGAAACGTCTAATGGGAACTGAGTGCAAGAAAATACTTAAAAGACTTCAATTATCAGAGGCCGATATGAAAGATCCAGCTATTATTCTTGCAAAGCTGCAAGACCATTTCGTACCAGTACGAAATATTCTGTATGAGAGATATATTTTCCATAACACTGAACAGCAAGTACATGAAACTATTGACCAGTTTCTTATAAAGCTCAGGCAATTAGCTGAGCCATGTAACTTTGGAACACTAGAAGATGAGATGGTGAGAGACCGTCTGGTTCTTGGCTGTCAGGACAGTGCGGCCAGGACCAGGCTTTTCCGCGAGAAAGATTGCACTC